AAAAAAAAAAATTTAGTCGAGCCGAGCCGAGCCGGCTCCTTAGGATTAGTGGCTATGAATAGTGAAAACTCCTTCACTCTAGATAGATACAACTCACACCCACCCCCAAGATTGGAAGCACGTTTGACTTTTTGTAGAGAACTTCGGGATTTTGATGATCCAATAAACAAAACATTCACCAAAAAACCATCGCAGTTTACCATTTTCTCTCGCTCACACAGCTCTCTTTCTGATCTGTCTCTAATATTATAGTACATATTAAATTCTCTCCGTATAGAGACAGATTCTTCACACCGACGTAATAAACGACACGATATAGGTTCGTTTTCTTTATTTTATACTCACATGAATATATGTGTGTGTTTGTAATTTGTTTGCGATATGTTTTTAATTTACTTCTGTTGATTAAAGTGTCCATTGCAGTGAATATACCTAGCTTCATGCAATTCTTTCCATTACTGAAAATTTTGTTCACTTGATGTTTAAATTGTTGTTCCAGCTTAGATTTTTCCAATTGGGTTTTTCTTGTTTTATTTTTTTATCTTATTTATTGTAAAGTAAGTTAATGGTCGTTTTTCTATTTGGTGATAAATTTCAAATTTGTGTGCTGTTAGGTTTTCATAATTTTGGTTTATTTCTAATTTGTTTTCAAGATTATTGTATGATTGACGTAGAATTCTGCTCAATTGTGACCGACATTTCATCCAATTGTTTACTTAATTTTTGAATCCCAAAAGTTTGTTGTTGCCTTCGCTGCTTAAGTATTTACACTGACACCACACCCACAAAATATTTTATGATCGAATATTCTTTTGATATTTTAATTGCTTTGTGACTATGTGCGCATATAATTAATGCTATATTTTGTTTTCCTTTCAATAAATTTCGATACTTGAACTTTGTTTAGGGAATCTGATTACTGCGCAGGATGTGGTAGCATTAAATTAATAGGCTAATTCAATGCCCACTTTTACGACTTCATAATGCTATTCACAAAGTTTGATTGAGCACGTTTTTGATATTCATTTGAAAATTTTGTGCCAGAGTAGGAACCAACAGCACATCCATTAATTATTACCCTCATACCGTCATGCGTGACCTTTTGAATTGATGAGAACACAGAGCAATTCAATTTTGATTATAATTTCTTGGTGGAACTAATGATCACAAGGCTTAGCAATGGGGTACTTGAACGTGGAGAAGAAATGGGTATTCCCTCTCGTCATAACTTCACTAGTATGTATTTTACTTTTTGCAACATCATTCAACATGGGGCTCGTGTCATCGTTGCACACGATCAATTCAATCTTTCCGTCATTCTCGTCTCGTATTATGACCAATCAAAGCAGCCCTTATTTTGTCGAGGCAAAGATTAAGCAAGCCCCACCATCTCCTGCTGGGCCTTCCATTCCAAAATTTGCTTATTTGATTTCCGGGTCAAAAGGTGATATGGAGCAGGTCTGGAGAACACTTCAGGCATTGTATCATCCACAAAATTATTATGTTGTTCATCTAGATCTGGATTCACCGCCTGAGGAGAGATTGGCGCTCGCATCGAAAGTGGAAAAGGATCCCATTTTTGCAAAGGTTGGAAATGTGTACGCGAATACCAAAGCAAATATGGTTACTTACAGAGGGCCCACCATGGTTTCTAATACTCTTCATGCATGTGCCATTCTTCTCAAAAGACATAAGGATTGGGATTGGTTTATTAACCTCAGTGCATCAGATTATCCCTTGGTTACTCAAGATGGTGAGTTTATCTTTAATTTTTTGGCCTTCTTACTGCAAGAAGTTTGTGCATTCTATTTAATTGCATCTTGTGGCTAAAATATCACAATGTTTTTGTTCCAATTTTATATATTCATATATTTTTTAACTAATTATAGTTTCTTTTTGCAGATCTTCTTTACGCATTTTCCAATTTAAAACGAGAATTAAATTTCATTGAACATACGAGCCGTTTAGGCTGGAAAGCGTAAGTTCTCTGTGCAGAATGTGAAAATTACCGAAACATACAAAATGTTTTATGTTATATTCGATTGTATTGTAGGAGCAAGAGGGCGATGCCATTGATTGTAGACCCCGGGCTCTACCAGACAAACAAGTCTGATATCTTTTTGGTTAGACCTTGGAGAACTTTGCCAACAGCATTCAATTTGTATACTGGTCAGTTCAGACATTTAATTCTTACTAGGCCTGGTGAACAATGGATACATTCATTTAAACTATTTGTTCAATATGTTGACTCCAGCGATATATTTGATAGTACCATCTTCTGGGATTTTCGTTTGATGGGATCATAGCATATGTTTGGCAAGTGTGTACAAAGTATAAACCGTTATAAACGGTCAAAAAAAGGTCAAACCATTTTTTATCGACGCATTTCGTGGGATCCACGAATACTACTCACTTATCCACCCTCATTACTATCTATTTATTATAAACAAAAATTAACACTTCCCAAGCAAGCTTATAATCTTGTATATGGTGTCTGGTCGCAACATATTTTTCACTTCATTACTTGGTCTTTGGTGGGGAAGCAAGCAGATGAAAGCTTATTGACATTACTAATGAACATTAATCTTGGCTGCCACTTAAAAAATGAGTTTTATCTATATTTTTCTCATCTTTCAGGCTGATACTTGATAAGGATAAAGTTTTGGGTATTATGGAAATGCAGTGAATAGATCATGGAAATTCAGTATAGAGTTAAAAGCTACTGGCCAATCAAAAATGATTGGCTTCCAATGCATTCTGGCTTTTCTTGACCTCCAGACACATTTTACTTTTCTCAACTTCTGATTTGTGGAATTCCTTTTGCTACACTCTGTGTTTTGCAGGTTCAGCTTGGATGATCCTCTCGCGTGCATTTGTGGAGTACTGCATATGGGGTTGGGATAATCTTCCTAGAAACCTACTCATGTATTACACGAATTTTGTGTCCTCCCCAGAAGGCTATTTTCAGACTGTCGTCTGCAATGCCCCAGAATTTGTCCCTACAGTCGTCAACCATGATATGCACTACATTTCTTGGGATATTCCTCCCACACAACATCCCCGTACCCTTTCCCTCAATGATACAGAAAAAATGATTGCAAGTGATGCTGCCTTTGCACGTAAATTCAAGCAGAATGTTCCTGTCCTTGATAAAATTGATAAAGAATTGCTCAGGCGAGAAAATGGGAGCTTCACACCTGGTGGTTGGTGTGCAGGAAACCCTCCTTGCTCCGAGGTTGGAAATCCCACCAGACTTAAACCAGGACCAGGTGCTCAAAGGCTTCAGCGTCTTTTAGGTAAACTAGTTTTGTCAGATGATTTTATTAAAAATCAGTGCAAGTAGATTTTATCAATATCGTTCTTGGTCGAGTATACAGAAAGGCAAGTCTAATTCATTCACGGTCACCAGCATAACTAGTTAGAATATTGTACGGAAACCATTGCTCTCTTGTCCTTGATAATATAGATGAAAAAATATTCAATTTCATCTATTTAATTGTCTGCTGGGTTTCGTAACGTGTTATTTTTCGATGCAAGCATAGGACTTGCGAACTTGTGGTTCGATTATGCAATGCTTAATGTTGTTGGTCGGTGAAAAATCTCAGGCTTTTATACCTTCATTTGCGCTTCAAGCCAAAATGAAAAAGATAGAATTGGGTGCCAGAAAATTTTCGGATCGAAATTCTAATGCGCGTGCCAAACGTCAAACCAAAATTTATACACTCCCAAGTTCACATATTCTATTTCAAAATGATTAAAATCTGTAAGAGTTACAGAATGTACAAAGAAAAATCAATGTTACCACCCCCCCCCCCCCCCCCCCCCCCAATGCACCACGCACTTCTGAATTTTTTTATGTACAATACATACTTGATCAAAAGATAAATCTCACTCTTCCAAGGATCTTTCGCCAGTCAAAATTCTAGTTGCTATAACCTTGAGTAAAACAGATCACACTTTCAACTTATAAGCTACAAGTCACAAATAACTTCAGCTGCAAAAATTTTTTCCTGAATCTGTTCCAAAGTCCCAACTGGAACATAAATTTGATGAGATATTGACCAAATTAGACCATCTCGAGTAGCTTAATATTTCCCATGGAATTGGCAGCAACCAAGGTGGACGACTGACCACGCCAACATACGGATGATATAAATTGTGCCGTATCGTCCACTTCATCACCGGAAAGTGGGTCTGTGTTATTAAATTTAAATGATAATGCAGGCATCGGCAAACTTTTGTGGTAGACGAAAACCTGTAGAACGAAAAGCAGATTGTCAATCAGAACGGGATTTGAAACTCTTATAACATTAATGATAATGGCCATTTGAAGGCAAATACCAGTAATGTCTCAAATTTTTAGATGAGGTAGTTTTAACATGGTATCAAGTAGATTAACATCCTGAGCTAAACTCTCACTATCACCTGTTAAAGAAAATTGTGTACGCATCAAGCAACCAAATCAAGGATGTTGACTGTTAAAAAATTAAAAATTATAATATTCTTGTTTCTGACAGCAGTTTTGCAAAGCACTACGATCATATTTCCAAACATGAATGGATAACTTACTTTTTTCTCACTTTTAAGAGAAAAAAATTGCTTCTTTTGAAAATAATTCGTGATGAAGGATCAAGCAGTCATGATCAAGCTCAGTGTTGCCTAACCTCATAGAACCAGCTATCTACTCGTGATTTGAGAGTCTATAATATAATTTTAATCAGCAAATCAACACTTCACGCAAGCAGTTTATGGCCAAAGTTATACAAGCACCCTAAACGGGCTATAGTAGTCCACTATAATCGCCTAAAATTCCACAGAAGGGTTGAATGAGCTCCTTCGGAAGATGGTCCAAAGAAGAGACTCCCAAGCCAATAATTGACATGTATCTGATCATAATGAAATACATAGAAAGTAAAAAAACATAGGTTTCCCATATCACAGAGTCAACTTTAATAGAATTTCATAGCTATCGATTTAGCAATAGGCCTTAAACCACATAAAAAGGAAGAAAGCATTTAAAAAGTATAGCCATTCCCCTTTTGGACCGCCAACGGGCTTTCAAATTTTTACATCGTAAGACATGTTCACAGCAAAGGAAACTGAAGAAGGAAAATAACAGAAACTCATCAAATTGCTTTTCGATATCTTCAAAAACTATTCACACATTTTCACCTAGAAAATTAGTGACAATTGACATGAATTTAGATTGCTTTCTGCATTTTTTTTTTCCCTCCCAGGCTAGGTGGAAAAATAAAGGAACCTACACTGGTCACTGTTAACTAGAGCAGGTTTATGTAAAACTAGTTCAGACATGCAGCTTTACATTTCCAAAATATACCTTGCATATGTTTCGAAATAGACAGAGTACCTGACAAATCAGATTTAGAAGTGTAAACATGGTACTTGTTAAATTATGGCTTTGAACAATCCCATATTCAATAGGAATTGGATATGTACGATCCCTATATGTAAACGGTCGAGACGTCTGGAAGTTTTCTCCCTTCGAACCTTTTGCTTTCTCGCTCTAAAAACACCTCAACTCTTAACCTATCATCGTATTTTTCAAGAAAGAGAGAATTTGAAGAGATCTCTCAAAGGTATACATGGAAGATGCGAGCCTTACGATTTGAAAAATGATCCAAGAACTGTCGATAAGTTGACATCTGCTCCTAGTAGTTTATGAATTTTCAGCCCTATCCTCCGCCATCCACTGATAGGATTCATTTACCCGATAAACCACCATCGCCTGCCTGCACTGCAGCTTCCTAAGTCACCCCGCACCCTATAGTCCTAGCATGTAGAAAATCGCCTGCAATTTCTCTCCCAAAAATCCAACGCTTTAATTTCAAGGTGTATTAGATGGAAGAAGAAGATAAAACCGGCCTCACGCCACTCATACAGCCACACTTTCAGGCGGCGGCCCTAGGTGGAAACCCTAGCGCCGCTGCCCCAGATCTGCAGGTTCCTGGCCCTTCCTCAGTACACGCGCCTGACAGGTGGACTGGGGTGGGGATTCTGACGTGGGGGAGTGGCCTGGGAGGACCACGCGCCGCGCCGGCGACTAGGAAACTAAAAATGCACCGGGAGGTCCCCAGTCCAGCCACGGCACCTATTCTGCCATTAGATGTGCCAATTACACAGAACTTGGGTAAAAAGTTGGGGAATGTTTATGGTTTGGTGTATGATCGTCGTTTTCGAGTTGAGGCGTAGGAGTTTGCAATTTCTATTAACACTTTCGGCACTGTTAGGGTGATAGAGTGGGGCTCAAAGCTATCAAACTCAATTTGCATGGGGAGGTTTGGCGCACTTTGGATGGTGAACATGGTGGATAAGTTGAGGGCGACTAGCAGATTGACGGGCTTCGCCTCTAAGTTTAACAAATCCCATAGAGCCTTTTTGGCACAACGATGTGCGAACAGCCGTGGCAGGTACTTGATGATAGCACAGTACGGGGAGAGGAGCCGGAAGGGAGTTGTGATGGTACCGGAGGGCGTGAATGGAGAAAGATGGGCATTGATCTCGCGGGTGTTTCAGGCCGTTGTTGATTCATTTGTCGCTGGTGATAAGGCAAAACGTCGAATTGTAGACGACAAAATGCGACAGGGAAGGACGTATACCGGAGTTGTGGCAAACTCACAGGCTTCACAGAATGTCGATCAACGGGTGTTGCTGCGGAAGGGGCGGTTGGTGTGAGTAACCCTCATTTAATGAGGCACTCGGGGTGGAGGTACCCATGGAGGGCTTTGGAGGTCTGCTAAAATAAGGGCACGCATCCAGGCATTGAAAGGGGAACTTGATGAATTAATTAGGCTTGTGGGGAGTGAGTCTGATGCGGGCTGTGGGTTATTTTGTTGTCATAGGTGTGGGATGAGCGTGGAGGAATCTCCAGGCG